GCTTTGCCTTCACGCTCCCGTGACGTAGACGCGGATCCAGATAAAATAACGCACAAGAGCACATACCGTGAAAGGATGGATCACCAATCATTCTTGCATACTTGTTCACTTCACGTTAATAATTGCATAACATATGTCGATTCGGTGGAAAAGATTGGACGTGACATCGAACGAAGCACTTCTCCTACACAGCATGTATTCCACAGCAGTGAGACGGCCCGAGTAGTCATCGACATTTCCACCAAAAAGAACTATGGGATGGTAAAGATCTCGAAAATCGACACTGGCACTTGGGAACCTGGGATCTTGGTGCAAAGAGGTTTCGTTCAGTATTTCAAAATGTCTTCCACAGGATAACCGAGGCCTACACTCAAGCTGAGGGACCTCAATATATGCTGGAAAGAATGTGAAGACATCAAGGTCCGTTTTCAGAACAGAGTATTGGTAAAATCGCTCACTCGTGTCTCAGACAAGCTTTCAACTTCGCTTACAAGGCAATTCATCGGTCAATCATGGATCACAGAAGCAACCGCAAAAGGGTAACAGTTGGCATCCGCTATTGTCTCGCAAACTACATGTCTGCAGATGCTGAAGTGGGGGATCTTGGATCTGCAGCCTACGCAGGTTCCGGCCTCCCCGCGGCCGAGACTTGACTGACTTCCCTCTAAGGTCTCCTGGTGGCTGCATCGTCCCCGTTTTGCTAGGCTCTCGAAGCACGTTTACAGTTTACACTTCATCAGGAAGAACTATTGTCGAATTCAGCAAGCTCTCGGTATGAAGCTAAAGATGAGCCGAATCACGTGACCAACTTTGATCCTCGGGGAGTGCGTAAATAGGGAGTAAATAGGGATGAATAGGGGTGCAATGGGGGATGAATGCGGGCATTGAAAGGTCCTTGGCTTCATGGTAGGATCAGCTTTCAATAATTCGCGCAGATAAGTGATGTGCAGCTTTATCTTGACCTATCAAGTATCGATCAGGGCTGGGACAAGACTTGGTTTTGTCGTTGGTTATGCAGAGCGAGGTATATAATTCTTAATTCTCTCAAGTAGAACATTGGTATTCTTCTGCAACAGTACGTCTTCTATAATCTGTTACCATGGCTCTCGTTGGCACACTCTGCTTCTGTGATTCTTGCGGCGAGATCCTGGATCGCGCTATCCAAGATGTCAAGACAATCGTGTGTAAAAAATGTAGCACCTCAAACAAAAGTACGCGAAGACTGTTTTAAGCCAGTGTCGACTGCTCTAACAACACCTCCAGATGAATGGCCTGTCGAGATCCAAACAACGTCTAAACCAAGAAAATAATGGCCACGGCGCAGCTTCTGTATCAATGCCGAGACTGCTCAAAGGTATTGAGCTTTATCACATGCGTCAACGCTCACTAAAACTATCAGGCGCGGAGAAATACATTCATAATCTTGTCGGGGTTTTGGTATTGATGGTGTCAAGGTGGACAGTACGCGTATGATAGCAAGCAAAGTATGATTCAAGCCTCATCACGTAGCTACTAGCGTACCCACTCTTCGTTTGAGCAGCTTTCTCCAGATCCAGTGCGCCAGCTGCATTTCTGTTGCCGTAGAAACCTGCCGTCGATGTATCAGTTGTCTAACTTCCACCTATGCCTTGTTAGCGAATCGTTGTAGGAAGTGCGTAAACATACTTGTGCGAACACTGAGAACAACGGAAGAACACTGTAGATCCTTCATCTGCTCCGCGCAATTGCATCTCTCTGAAGAAAGTCTCAGAGTTCTTGCACGAAGGACAAGCTTCCGAGGTTCTGGCCCATGTTTCAATGTTGGCAGTGTCGAGCTTCTGGATCTCGTCGCGCTTATTACGAAGAACCGAAGGAAACGCGTCTGGTCTGGACGTTGTTTGAACCTCCAAAGGCCATTGATCTACAGCTTCGTTTAGTGACGGATCGCGACAATCTTTGCAGGACTTACTTTTGTTCTCTGTGTCGCAGATCTCGCATTTGATGTTCTCCACTTTAGGAGACACTCTGTTCAATAAGTTCCCGCAGTCTGTGCAGAACAGAAGAGAGCCAGACAAAGACATGTTGCAGGTGGTGAGGAGAGAGGCAGGTTGAGAGGAGAGACAGGTGAGAGGACGCGGAGGCTAATGGCTTCGCCGCAACGCCAAGACTACGTGCACAGACCTTGTCTTTTCTGATTGCGAACCCTGACTTTGCGATGACCATCGCGGAGCTAGGTGAAACTACCTTCTTGTCGAACATCACGGCTTTGCCTCCCACCCCTGCTCTGACACCACCAACCAAGCTCTCCCCAGTTCACGATTGCTACAGTGATAGGCCTGATTGAGGAACACATTGTTCCAGGTTCTCAAGGTGCTTAAACTTGGGGAATATGTACTTCGAGCTTATCTCCGCATCAGATGCATTGCAGAAGTAGCATAGCCTGACTGGACATCCCTTCGCTTTTGCTGTTGACCCAGAGTAGCCATTACAGGCGCTGCTGCAGCTGGTCATCTGTCACCACGAACATGGGCGTCACGTCGATCATCAGCCCGCCAAGCGCGGCGCGGCTGCAACCTTCATGCAGCGTGTCCATGAACATGGCGGTGAGAAGCACTCACCCTCTTCACGATAATGCCGTGCAGGCTGTTTGCCGCAAGCACGATGGTCGCTTGCTTGTCTGCCCTGCTTTGAGTCCTTCCTTACACGCACGCAGCTCCTTACACACACGCAGTACCTTCCAGACCGCCTAACTCTACGACCTGCCTCTCCAAGCACGAGCAGCGTACTCAACAACTGGATCGGTGCCCTCACACACCACTTGCAAGCCTTGCTAAACTACACCAGCTGCTTGTGCTGGCGGTGAGGGCGCAGGCGCTTCTGCTGGTGTTGAAGATGTGTATCACATCACACAATCCCAGTCTATAGGCGCCACCGCATTACTCTAAGCGCTGGGATTGGGGTGATGCGGCGTCAGTGCGCAGCTGTAGCTGCAAATCATCCCACAAGATTCATCCATGACTACGGGTTCCCACGCCCGAATACACTTTCCTCACCAACTTCCTCACCATTCCCCCCAATTCCCCCCGATCCCCCCCCAATCCCCCCCCAATCCCCCCCAATCCACTCCCCCCCCAATCCAATCCCCCCCAATTCCCCCCAATTCTCCCCAACTTCCTCCAATCCCCCCTGCAGACTCTTCCTAATTTCCCTCAAGAGACTCCACCCTAGCTATCTGTGGGGCTTGCATCCCGTCACAGATCGGGATGTGAATCACATAAATAGGGCCATAGCCAAAGACACAAACAACTGCGACCAGTTTTCTTATCGCCAACCACCGAAAACACGTGAGGTTTCCACCCAAGTGTACTATGCCCGGCAACACTGCTAACCGCCCTTAGGATGTGTAACTACGAGAGACTCGATTATTCGTGTGGGCATTCCAAAACCAGTTCGAGTATAAAATATTGCGATGCGTATGGCACCACCAATCCACATGCGCCTCAGAGTGTAGTCAAGGTGGCCGGCAAGTGCGGCGATTGTGCGACGAAGAAGGGATAAAGGGGAGTCTCAATGTGGAGCTACCTTTCATCCTGGGGCTCTATGCGCTGTTCAAATCACCACCACACTCTTTTTGTATCACAAACTCTTTTTGTATCGTACTCGTTGGCAGGCTGAGACTTCGACGTCTACCGTAGGACACACTCATTACACAATTGAGCGCGTAGGGCGTGAGCAACTACTTTCAAAAATGGCTTGACATAAATTCTGCAACCACGTGGGTGAAGTCACATGATATCTTATTGTACGGTAGCAGTCACTGCCCGAGAGCAAGACACTGCTCACGCAGTAATAAACTCCAACCACTGTTGACGTTTTAGTGAGGAAGCCTAGCGCAGCCGGCAAAAGTCTTGCTTATCTTTGTGTGTGCAATCCACCGCGTGAGCTATTGTGAACTCAACTCACTGATAGGACATCACGCCATGGTATCATTTAATGTAACTACGTGGGTTAGGTCACATGAAATCCTATTATAGAAGGCACTGCCCGGTGGGCAAGTGCACTTACCTCTGAGCAGAGAGCTCCTGTACAAGAACATCACCGAACAACAACAGATAGCAATACAATCAGTGACCACAGCCTCTGGAACGACACTGCACACGCAGCTACATTTAAGACTAGGTTAACAGAAACCTCAGAGATTAAACTACAAGCCCCACTGCCAGTGGCATGGAATACATAGGAATTCATGTCATACAGTATTTACCAATCCAGAAGTTCAATCGAGAACGTAATAAATTTAGACCTCTTAGAGGTGTTGGCCTTGATTTGTTCTCAACGGATATTCAGCCCAATGTTGCTCTCGTCGTCCACATCGTTATCCGAGTTAGCTGCTCTTATCGATCCCCTTCGGAGAGACGCCACTCGGCCCAAGCAGAAGACGAGAGGGCATAAAAGTTGAGTCGATATACAAGCCTGTTCATGTTAGAGACATCTCTGAAAGTGTTTCGATACATACAAGTAACATGCTTTGATAAAGTCGGTCACTAGTCATTCTGTTCGAGACCGAATGAACGTAGATAATCGTACCATTGGCTAGCTGGCAAAGCGCTGCGGCCGCATTAGAGATCACGAACGCAAGCAACAGCCTTATGTACCTCAGATCATTCCCGCCTGCCCGTTTGTGTGCATGCAGTGGCTGACCTGAGACTGTTGAAGCAAGGATGGAAAGACCAGCAAGATACAAAAATGAGTTATGAGTGTGCTGTGAAGTTTCGCTCCTGTTGTTAGTTAGTAAGAGATGCTGGGCTGTGGGGTGCCGTGGCCTTGCCTTATACTGTATGTGAACTCCAGTGTTACAGTGACCAAGCATGCTCCGTATACGTATGAAGTTGTCCAGGTCGGGCTAGCGGAATAGCGAAGGTTTCGAGCAAACTAAGCAAAGAGTGAGCTCAGACAAGAAATGATGAACGAAACGCCATACGTTCAGTGCTACATCAGTTTGAAGGGTACTATGCAAGAGTGGTTCCAGCCAATAGACCTGGAAACTGGTAGTAAGGGCAACCACTGCGCATATGATGGCAGCCGTTATGATTGCTATTTGTCCAAAGCCAAAGACGATGGGTAGGGCCTTCTCAAGGTAGGTCATTCCTCCTACTCTGGGTCTCGTAATTTCGACGTATAAGAGTGAAAGGCTCATGAGCAAACTGAAGGACTGACTTGTCGTAAAGCCAACAAGAAGTGTGCGCTCCATGACGGGTACGAGATGACGATTCGACGCTCAGCTGACAAGAACTCTTTATATCTTATGCCTCAAGCATTCGCGTACAATGGGTCGGTAAAACGGCTCTCCAGATAGGTAGAAACGGAGCATCGGCATCATAATACGCGATCGTGGATCCGCCCCGATGGGAGGAGTGAGGGGTTCGTTGGGCCTCTCAGAGCCAGACGGTATCTTAGCAACCGAATGCCGACTTCATACGAGGGAAAATGGATCGAACCAATACTGCTATGCTGATCGGAGATCAGGTAGTATAAAAGAGTGCTTGCCTTGTGCGAAACTAAGATCTCGGTCAAACTCCACAATGGACCTATACTCGTCTCATGATTCCACTTTGTCCCAGTCGGTTGGTACGGATAACTCACAGGCCACGGTTGAAGACCCTGACCTATACAAGGACTTGGTACGTAGAACACTGCGTGATTCTTGAATGCAATCTAGACAGCTAATACAATACCTGAATTAAGAGGTTGTCTGGATTCACGGACTCAAGAAACGGCGATGCAGATCCAAGTGAAAACCCTGTCGAGTCATTGCTTTTCAGAGCAGAGCAACACGAGGAAGCACCAGGTAAGTTCTAGAATACATCAAAAGATGTTTCTGACGTCTTCTCCGAAGCAGATGACGTTAGAACCTGGTTAGATAAGCTCAAACGTGAAGTAGCCCGGCAAAGAGAGTGGATTACTGCGCTCGAGCAGGCGAACAGCAATATCCAACTTATGCTTGCAAGTTATGACGATTGCTTCGAAGTCTTAGGGCGGACATCAGAAGAAAGAAAGAGGTTCTTGAGAAAAAGCTCGGAGGCTAAAGGCGAAAGGATAACAAAGAAGAGGAAGAAAGTGCAATTTACTGGAGCAAACTGACATTGCAGGCTTCAAGACACGTAAAGAAGAGCGGCTGCGCAAATCATGGATGACAAATTGATAGCAATTTCACTCATCGCCCCTCCGTGAATTCCACACCAGTCCAGAAGGCTTTTCGTATTTCTGTTTTGTGTTCTTCTCTACGGATGTTACGAGAGTGACGAGCTGCCAGCGGTTGATCGAATGCGGGATAGTGGTCGGTTCGTGTAACTGCGTGAGCAGTGTCGGTCGGAGGCTGTGGTCAAATGATTGTAATGCTATCTGTGTTGTTCGGTGATCATCCTAGTACAGGAGCTCTCGGCTCAGAGGTGAGTGCACTTGCCCTTGGGCAGTGCCTTCTACAATAGGATATCATGTGACTTGAGCCACGTAGTTACAGTTGGCAGGCAGTTGTCAGCTTGGCGTGTCCGTATCAGGCTCATCACTAGATTCGTATTGGTCTTGTGGCGGCCAGAGGGAGTCTTCGCTGGAGCTGGATAGGAGGCTTGCGAAGGAACGCATCGTGTCGAGGTGGTCGATATTCTGATGATGGTTTCGTCTTCTTCGGGAACAGAATCCACATAAGTCTTCGTACACGACTAACCAGCTTCTCAGCTGAGCGATGACGTCAGTACGCCACATCTGACCCCGAGGCGGGGTCTTAAGTGCCTGAAGAGTGAAGACCAACATTTGCCCAACAGCTGTCAAATGCAGACGATTCGAATCACTTGAGTCTAATGCCCATCCTGTGGTTGTCCCAACATCACCCTTAAGGATAGACCGTCCTAGGATCGTCCCAGCACACCCGTAAAAAGATGAACGCTTCGCCGGTGCACACGCAACCAAACTCCAGCCCATCCCTAACCGCCATCAAGCGCCGAAAGTGGTCTCTCGGGCTCTCAGCCTTGCGACAACAAACCACGTCCTCGAGCTCCATATCGTCCAGCCCTTCGTAAACATGACCGAGCAGAAGCTTGTGTAGTGCCTTGTATTCGATGATGAAGGCGGCGACACGGTTCTTTGCACTCTGGGTGCTGGTGTTGCAAAATCGGTCGCCGCGTGGACGGGAGGCTCGGATAATTTCTGCGCGGCTTTAAAGGCGGGACTCAGGGTATTAGCGTGATTCTGTCGAAGAAATTTAACAGTCAAAGACGACGGTGGATCGCTGAAAGAGATGCAGGTCGAGCTCAGAACTCAACACCCACCTCTGTATGGCTTCCCCAGACTCTCCTAGTATGTGCAGTGAAGTGCCGCTCCGAGCAAATCCTGATCCCATGATATCATCCCAAATCGCTTCTTGACGTGCTGGGGAATCATCCCAAACGCGGAGCCTTTCAGGTCGGGGCTTATTGTTCGCATTTGCAGGGTCGCCTCGCGTCGATGAGATAACTGTGGCCGGCATCGAGGTGTCTTACGGGCCCTCTGCTCGGCTTTTGCCTGAGCAATCTCTGCAGCCTCACAGTTGTGTTTGCCCTGTTTTGTTAAGAAGAGGAAAAACACATATGATACGCCTCGTGGTGAGAAGACGCACGTGAGCCTTCTCGACGCTAATGGTGGGGCAATGGACACTGAGGGCCAAGTTCGGTCGGCGTTGGGCGCCAACAAGACGCTCGTCATCTCATCCCTTACTGCCTACGATCCCCTTTGTTTCAGACAATTGTGAAAGCATCACTTCAAGCGTTAATACCGCAGAGCAAAACGTTATCCTTTCCACTAAATACGTCCAGCATAGTAAGTTGATAATGAGCGCGATCTCCTTCCGATATCTGACTGGATCTCAGCCTTTCCTCGCCTCCATTTCTCAGCATAATATTCCATGACTTATCAAGCCTGAAAAGTCTTCGCTGATATTTCTTCATTCTGAAGCCCTGAGCTTCGTGGAAGGAGCATACGCGACTACACGTTCAAAGTCTTGCGCCCACAGGCGAACGGCCAGCAATGAGCGTATGCAAGATACCTGCGGACATCTTGAACAGCGATGTGCAGCTCAAGGCCAAGATTACACAAGAGGTATTAACACTGCCTAATACAAAATTGGATACGTTTCGAAGCTAAAACACGGATAAAGTTTGGTTTAGCGCTCGAAGAGCTTTCTTTCGACGATGATTGGACATACTATTACACAGATGAAATCCCAAAGCATTCGAAATCCCGTATCATTCTCTTTAGAGCATCTGCGTCGTCCTCCCGAATCGGATGCATAAGAGTTCGAGACAAAGACGACACGAAAAAAATAGTCTGGGACGTTGTTGGAGAGGAAGGGACCTACATAGGTCTGGTGCCAGCCGGTTGTCTGACCGAGGCCATGTTGGTTGACAGCAAACTCATGGCATTGAACTAGCCGGGTATATCTTTGGCAAACCAAACTGGCGACCAAACCTGATTGCGTTCGATCGAGGAATCGAGTGAACAATTGAGGCCACGCGATCCTCCGCTGGAATGGTCAAAATACTTGTTTGAAGCTCTTCAGCTTGCCATTCGTGCGAATGACTCCAAATCTGTTCAAACGTCTCGGGGGATAGTAAGAACGCTGTCTCAATCGATCCTGGACCCGAGGTGATCACTGAGCCTGTGGTATGGTTGGTTTCAATACAGTAAATAGAATGATTGCCATGCAATATTGCGATCTACTCACCTGTCAGAGTTCTCGCAACCTCGCTATGAGTATTGTTTTCAGTGCTTCCATTTTCTTGTTTGCCAGGATCGGAACGGCATTCTGTCGTTATTGTGAATAGGATTACAAGAGATTTTTCAGTTGCCTCTACTTACCTAGGCCTCGACACTCACGAGAGTTGTCAGCAACCGGGAACGGAGTTGGTTCGAATTCTTGCCACAGGTGAGCTATGTCGATAAAAGACGAAAGTACCACACGCACTTCTCTTGAGTAGGACTGTGTCTCCCATCTCTGTGGAGAATTTCCTTTTTAGGCTTCGTCCAGATGAATTCTCTGAATTATCAGTCAGTTATGGCGAGAGGCAGAATTGGATCAGGGGTTACCGATGCCTTTAGGTAGCTGATCCTCTGCGAGCAAGTCCAGGGCGGGCAAAGCCAAAGCGTCTTGAGTGAGCTTGAGATGTTGTAGTAGATTTATCCTTTCTTGAACGTTCAAGCATACAATCCTTTGTTTGCCCAGACTTGCTGCACACAACAATGCTGAGGTACGATTGCAGTTGCGGTTGACGTCGCAAAGGAAGGTTTGATAAAGCCGTCCATCGCGCGTTGCTTGTTCGACTGTCAGGGCATTACAGGCTGCACGAAGGAGGTCCGTCTCTTTCTTGTCCAACCGCCCTAGAACTCTCCATTTTTTGATGCTCATATTCAATTTCTGGATACATTCCGAAAGGGCGCTCGATAGCTGCGGCTTTGTGGACAACTGACGAGCTTGAACCTCAGCTTCTAGTGAACGTACAAGTTCCCTGCTGATCGTAAGAAGTGTCTCTAACTCAGAGTCGTCGACATCTTTGTAGCCCTGCTGCCATGCAAAGTTGTTCCCTTTTGCTACGCTTAAAGCAATGCAAGGTGTTTCCATTGTTCAAAAGGAACGTCGTAGTACACGCAATTGTGAGGAGCGAATCGTGAGCAGCACAACTGAAAAAAGGGGTTGAGGAGGGAGGAAGAAGGGGGGCATTAGACTGCAGATAGGGAGCATCAAGGGTGGCGGCTAAGCTGGCGGCTACTCGATTGGGTGATTAGGGCTTATCAAGCATGTGCGCCAAAATCCTACTTCATGCCTGCTCATGTGATAACACCTGCATCCGCATTTAGTCACTCCATTCTACAAACAATCTCACGTGTTGCTAAGGGCAACCTTAAGTGAGGGCTTGGCGTTCATACATGCTTAGTCAGCTAACAAGAAGTCCAACACTTGCGCCTGCAATTCGACACTGGGTCAACGCGTTCGTGATGAATTCCTACGGATACTAACCTTCAACTTCGCTAATCTAGTTTTATACAGGAATGGATGTTGAAGCGATCATTACGAGACTCGAGGCGAACGTAATGAGCCCATCACGTGGGCAAGTCCAGGGTCGCCTCATCTCGCGATCATTTTCAGAGCATCAAGAATTACTACAGCGACTTCTATGCCACACTCAGACCTCCGCCTTTGTCCACTGTTTGCCAAACGCGGAGTACAGATTCTCAGCAGCTGTGAATTGCGAGCTGATAACGGTACCTGTTGATTGGAAATAAGCTCAAGCTAGGCATCAGTAGGTAGCAGGTACTTACTTTATCTGACTCTGTGCAGTGGTATTACTGGCTATTGCAAGGGCTTGCGTTTTGCGACAGACCATTTTAAGTTCGCTTTGGAGTCGGTATAATCGCTGTTGATGGAGTCGTAACTTTCCACTTGGGAGGAAAGAGAACGAGAACGAATCGGAGGCTATTGCGTACGCTCCAGTTCAGCCATCTTCTCGTCCAATTGTTCCATTAATCTTCTGTGCTGACCCCTGAGGAGCGTTGTTTGAACTCACCCACCTCAAATGTGAGTGGTCGTAAGTCATACACCGTTCGCTTGGGGCCATCGACCTCCGACTTAAACTCACGGTACGCTTTCACCTTCACGTAGTCAATTTCATCTTGACTGTAGACATCGAGGACGCTATGAAGAATGCAGATGGTCTTGGGGTCAGCGTTGTGTGTCTGGTTGACTGTGAGGCTGGCCGAGGCATAGTCTGCGGATATGTACTTCAGATGGTGAGAAGTTTAGAAGATAACCAGTCGGGGAACATACCGACTGTGAATTGGCCATGTCTTGAATTCAGTGCAGCCCACCGGTGAAGGACTGAGAAGCGGGGAGGAAATCATAGCCTCGTGGGAACATGCGTGATATGTTTAACGCGTTCAATTAGCCATGTATTTGCGAAAGTGTGATGAACGCAGCGCTGCAGATTGCCAAGTGCCGCCCCCCAAACGCCCCCCGATGCCTCGATAGCATTTGAGGCGCGTCTTCTGCACCTCAATAACGACACATTGAATTGAAGACAAGCTCCAATAGTCAAAAAGAGCGTCCATTATTTCCAACTAAGATAAGTCTGTGCCATGATCTCGCGCCAGTGTAGTCATCTTTTTTAGCGTTTACATCGATCTCTGCTTCCCGGCCTCTAGCTCACCAAAGCCCCCTATAAAGTCTTCTAGAGTCCCCCATAAGCCCCCCCCAAAGCCCCCCTAAGCGCCCCCTAAGCCCCCCTAAGCCCCCCCTAAGCCCCCCCTAAGTTCCCTCAAACTATCACTAAGCTTGCCCGCGACCAACACATCCGTTTACACTCTCCTACCTTCCATCTGAACCTCGTTCGATACAAAGCTGCAATGCCTTCCGTTCACTCCAATCCCGTACAGTCAATCTACCATGCGGCAGGCGTGGTATGTGGCACCGATCATTGTGGACCATAAATGCACCTGCAAGGTTCAAAATCGAGAACAGTCAACACAGTATAGGGCTTCCGGGGACCCATGCTTGTGTGCGTAGTTCTAATCGCTTCGCAAACGGAATCTTTGGTTTGTCAGGAGGCTTATGGCAAGCGATAGAGAACATCCGTTTCTTACCCACAATTTGTAACCTTGTCGCACAATGCTTGGAGGACCTCTGTGTTCCAGGAGATGTGTATATGGCGTGGTTCTACCCGTTCTTTAGCTTTATGCAGCCTCTCGCTTTTGGTTTGCATTTCACTTCGGGACTGCAGTGCTCCTTTGATTGCGGATGAACGGTCTTATTTCCTAGTTGTACATTTCTAACGCCTCCACACAGGTTGACCAGCCTTGCTTGAGTCTGCCGCTGTAACCTGCTATGCATGCACGGCGCTAATGACCGATAGTCATCGCTGGTCTTACAGTACTGTGTGGAATCCGTGCCGCAAAATATTATTAATGCTAGGTTTGTCTTCTCACTGTCTACCTCTTTTTCAAGGCTGATTTCTCTTGTTGCCTTGTTTGCCTGGATCGGAGATTGTGCAACAGTCTAAGCAGTTATGGAACGCCTTTCTCGGCTTCACGCTGGGTCTTATATTTCCACAGACCCAAAGCAACAACCGCATCCATCAATTCCAACGCGTCCACCGCTGCAACTACCTACATCACCTACACACCACCATGACAGGCAGATATCCGATTACTACCGCTACTCCACAAGCCATCAAAACACGGAACAACCCTACCGCTCACCACCTCTGTCAGCTCCCCAGCATGACCAGGGTTCGTTTGCGCCGAGCCAGTATGCAGGTGCAGCTGGCCAGCAAGTAAGGCGTAAACAGGTTCGTGCCACGCAGGCGTGCAACCACTGTCGAACACGCAAACAGAAGTGTAACGAAGCAAGACCATGCCAGTTCTGCAGAGATAACGACTTGGATTGCTTGTACAAGGAAGTACCACCTCCAAAGTATGTGACAAACCCTCGGACAAACAGCAGTTACTGACACAGCACAGACAAGATCTTAGCATGATGCAACTTCAGGAGAGCGTAAATGACATTGGCGAAGTACTGAAGAATCTTGCAGGAGAGTTGGCCTCATGGAGACAGAGCGTCGAGACCAGACTCCCCTTGACCCAAACCCTGAACCAGATCACGAACATCGCACCCAAAGAGAAGAGCGGATTACAGAGTGGGGACATCACTCTTCCACAGTCACAGATGCCTCCTTCAGCGTTACAAGCATTGATTCCAATCAAGCAAGAGTCCGATCCGACCCAGACTCCAGCAACTCCAGTCGACAGTTGGAGCGAGAACAGCGGCGCAGAGGAGATGACCGGATTGCAGTGGGACCACACCACACCAGCACATAAGCTGCTCGAAGAGTGGCTCTCGATGGCGCACTTCTGCCGGAACGTCGACTATATTGAGAAGTTGATCGAAGGCGGCCACGACGTGTCAGAGTACCCAGTGCTGCTCGAGCAGGACCGAGGCCTGCTTCGCGTTTGGGGAGTTGGTGAGGGCCAAGATATCAACGATGGAGCCCAAGGACCAGGAAGCCCTGACAGTGGCGGCGACGCGGATGCCTCCTCTCCTGCACCTGGCAGGGAGGGCCTCTGGGGCTGCCCACCTGCAGATACCTCCAGCCCAGGAACAGTGCCTGGCGAGACTCCCAGCAGCCACCCTCGACAAGAAAGCGACGGCGGACTTGGACCAGACGGCAGGCCTGATTTCCGCTCACACATTCTTTGGGAGTTGTATGACTCCTATATCGAAAACATCCACAAACTGCATCCCTTCATGAACGCCAGTAAGCTCAGAAGGATGATCAAGGAGTTCAGCGAGCAGTACAGTCCGGACATCAACACCAAACACGCCGGATCACCAGCTGCCAACCCATTGGCGAACCACCAGCTTAGCCAGGGCCTGAAGCGGAAGCGATCCGGTAGTGCATATGGCGAGCCCTACTCTGCTAAGGGCCTAATCGAACGCTCCCTGCGTAATGCCCTCATCCTCCTTGTCCTCGCGCTCGGCAAGGTCTGCGCTCATCACGACCCATTACCTTCGCCTCAGAGTGACAGGATGTCGCACACGAATGGTGGTTGGGGTGTGCATTCCAACGGCAGCTTCAACGGCAGCTTCAACAGCGACATATCCGATGACAATCGGCCACGCAATGTCGACGTCTTACCGGGTATGGGCTACTTCGCCTACGCAACTGACATCCTTGGAAACCAACAGGGCGGCAACACAGTGGCACATGCGCAGGCAATGATCCTAGCTGCACTCTACCTGGGTCAGTTTGCTCGTGTCTTGGAGAGCTGGAGCTGGATCAACAACGCTTGCCGTGTCGTCCTTGTCCTTATCAAGGCGGACTACCAGAAGCTCAACCGGGACTGGTGCCTGGAGAACAAGGCATCTCTGCCTCCGAAAGAGCGTTACCGGCTCAACCTGGTTATGTGCGTATACTGGACTTGTCTCCAGCTCGAGTCAGATATTCTGGCCGAGATGAGCACGCTGCCACCCAGCAGAATCTCAGATTTCCAAAGCGAGATCGCGTACCCAGATGGCGTATCCATCGAATCTGGAACTAGTGTTGAGGAGAAGATGTTTGCCGACCCAAACCCACAGGAAGGATCTATGCTCATGTACACGAGTCAAATCTGGCTTCGTGTCATATTAAACGAGGCGCATAATATGCTGTACGGCAGAAGTAAGTGGCACAATACACAACATGTCCATTGATTTCGTATTAACGTTATCTAGATGCTCGCCGCAGCTTTGACACCCACACCATCAAAGAGGTCGCGCATCGTGCCACAGCGCATGTGCGTATCCTTGAGGACTGGAGACAAGTCCTGCCGCCTACGCTGGCCTGGAACGACGATGACCCACCGGCTACTGATATCAATGTTGCACGTTTACGTGCTAAGTACTATGGGTCTATCTACGTGATCTTGCGCCCGTACTTGCGCATTGCGAACCACTTCATCGACTTCCCGCCCACAGGCGCAAGCACAGCACGGGCGTCTCACTTTGTACCAACCTCTGATTCTTCATCCAACAGGAACGTACATCTACTGGTGGATCTATCAGATGACCAGAGGAGCATCATCGGAGTCGCTGTCAAGTGCATCAACGCCGCAATCCAGAGTACAATTGCTTTCGACCGTATTGGCGCTGCTCCCGACAGCAAGTACGTAAAGTTCGATGCCAACGCCCGTACTCGACGACTGGTAGTCACCAACATCTTTGGCACTATGCATGCGTAAGTCAAAAGTCAAACATGATCCAATTGTACCCAACGCTAATGCACCCTAGTCAATTTGGAAACATGCTCGTCCTTGCAGCAGTCTTCACGTCTCCACTTTCCAGGTACCTACCTAGGGATACACAGCTCACGAAGCAGAACCTCATCCTACTCATGGACCGAACGTGCAAAGCCCTCGGCGAAATTGCGCCAAACTCCCCAGTCCTGGAGATGAATCTCAAGATCCTGCGCAACGTCCGGGAGCAGCTAGACCTGTACCCATGAGTATCGCACTCAGTATCTCCTTCCTGTTGTTCGCCATGATATGCAACACGTTGGTGAATCAACCAGGAGCGAATCAGCTAGTCTCGACCGAGCACTCGCCATTGTTGAGACAATATCTTAATCTGATCTGATCAAACCTTACGCCTCTGTCCCGCGGAAATGGCCCAAAGTCACTCCAGAGCTAAACGTTCTGAATGCTAACGGAAACGCCCAAGTAAGAGCATCTCTTCAAGGATTCCGTCTCCTTTGATACCAAGAGTTACTTGTTGCTTGATTTGACTTGTTTGGAAGTTGTGTATAAAAACTAGGTAGCAACTAATTCTCAGTCCTCTGCGTACATAGTCTCCATTTCATTAATCAGTATACATCGCCGCCTGATGTGTTTTGTGATTGTTGTATTCCGTCGTCACGTCTTGCGTTGCTGTGTCGCGGCTAGATGGCTGTCGCTGCGTTCGATGAACGTGTCATATTTAGTAGCTTACTCGTAGATTTTGTTCGTCCCTCTCTGCCATAGCCACAACGGCTCCTCTACAGATTCCAAATCAACGCTAGGGGACGCTCGATAGCCCGTAGAGGCCATTCCGACCCGCAGAAACCATTGTGGCCACTGACAGATGTGCTTTTTGTAATGGTAATTCTAAAAGTTGAGTTCTCGCTGTATGTGGCGTTTTCGCTGTGGAGAAGACATGGCAGCGTAACCTAATAGCCGCCTGCAGCTCTGACCTCTAACGGTTATTTCGATCAGTGTGGGCAAGGAGGCGCCCACGACCTAGCGTCGGCGCTTCTCAGTGGATGTAGCAATGCGGTACGCCGCGAGGTTCCTGCGCAACACGACATGCTTACGCCGTACAAGTCCCGGGAAATAAATGGTGCAATTTCTTCTCGTCTTATATCGCCGTGCCTCGCTTGCCGACATCAACTACGCATCGATATGACTGACGTACATAGCCCCCTTCAGATACTTCGACTGGAGCCAGCTGACTCTTTTGCTTCCTCCGCCTAGTACAAACTCAGCAGTAGTTGCCCCCAACCCAACTACGACTCTGTGCGTACGTGCCTATAGAGGAATGGCTCCGGCATGCACGGCTTGCCGGCGCAGAAAGAAAAAGGTACAAATCTACGCTCCACACGGGACCAGTGGACTGATCATGAGATAGTGCTGCCGAAAAATGTGAACACTCCTTTTTCTTCAAGTAGAATGTCGTCGAACTCAATTGTTCACAAATTAGTTGGATTATGGACTTGGACGTGATTATAACCTGACGTACCATTATCGTGGGATCGTAAGTCGGAGATATGTGGGATCCAGAGGCAACGAACACAGGACTATTCGGAGGTGCAGAAGGTATGGTTACACATCCGATATACAGTCGAATGTCCCATACATTGCGTTCGTTTTTGCTACCTGTTTGTACCTCGTGTCCCAGATCTGATCCGTGTAACGGATTCTTTTGGTCACATTGAGTACAGTACCCCTCCCGATTTAAGAGAGCGGTGTTGCCACGCTCCAAGCATTGCGGACAGCGGTTCAGAGGCTGCAAATTAGAGAATGGTGTTGGGGTGGTGGATGACATGTTGAGGTGTATGGCGAGATACGGAGCCCTTCTGGCCGACTGCCAGTGGCTGTACTTAATACCTGCTTGCCATAAACCTCCTGAAAAATCATGTGTTCGATGAGCCCCTCTTACCCCCTTCACAAATTTCGCTTCTGGGCTTATCCTTGCCAGTCAAGCCTTGTGGTATGGATTGAAGAGCTCACATCAAGTCGTTTCGTTCCGTAAGGTCTGGAACTCCTTGTGACCCAGCTCACCGGGTAGCGAGAGGGGCTGGCTGAGATGGCTCTTCCGGGCACATCATCCCGAGCCTGTCAAAGCTTATCCCGATATGCTAGGAAAAAGGGGCGGCCTGGCCGAAGCATTGCCCCGCAAAGACGCTACCAATGGCTTGCTCCTGCATGCATGAAGGCGCGAGCAACGCGAGTCTATGATTCGAACAAACCCTCTGAGGTGGGGTGACCCAATTCTACATGACACTGTCCACTCTGACACTGTCCATTGCGCAAGTCCACCTTCTATCGTGTTGAAAATCTTTCCACCTCCTTCAAACCATGAGTGGCGGCATCGATCAGTTCCACTGGGCTATAGCGCAGCACGCTGCACTTTCTCGTAAGCTCTTCCAGGAAATTGTGAACGAGTCTATCCTTGCCCACTTACTGATAGAGATGCAGCTAAGGACAGCGAAGCTCGCGAATTATCTCAAGCGGAACATAACCTCCTTTACGTCCTCTTCTTCTTGTGTCCTGACTCATGGTCTACGGCAATTGAAACCATACAACGCATTGATCAGGGTACTGGAGTGGAACGTACGACGCCTCTTCGTGAAGTGTTGTGCGAAATCTTGAAAACTTGGGGTTTCACGCCTTTGACAATCACCGACAAGGGTGATATCCAGCGACTCGACACATTGAAAGGAATGCTTCGGTTCATGAAATTATCATTGCAGACCGCCGCTACGGAAGCTCAGCGAGCGCAGATCGATCGTATCCTTGGCACGAACGATGAACGGCCCTCGCAGCTCAGTGTGCCTAATTTCAGCCTTTGAAGAGATCTGGGATGATGTGATGGACGTGGCTTCATCATAAAATGGTTCTGTTAAGCTCTGGTCATTGAATTGATGGAGCAAATTTGTCGTATGGTGTACCGTAGAATCTTTTCATTACCTTGCAAGATAGTAATTGGGAAAACAGCTACTTAGTGTTAAAGAGTGTGTCAAAGCAAAACATTACAGTACATTTCCCCACGCACGTCATTGCACCTAATTTCCTTTCAATTCACAGTGTCTTTTCCTTCCAAATGTGGCTTAGAAGAGACAAAAAGACCGCATACTTGAAGCAGACTCCAAAGTGCTCCTAGCGCTGCGTCTGCAGACAGTTCATGGTTGGTGTTCCCTGAATCTTCATGCTCATTGCTCGCAGATGTTGGCTCTCCGAGAGCAAGTCTGATGCAAAAAAATATCTCCATGAACTGCTGGAGTGAATTTAGGTCATTCTCGTGGGACAGAGGCGTAGGGTTTGATCTGATCAGATTAAGATATCGTCTCAACAATGACAAGTGGACACGCACCGTAGGCTCCAAAGAGCACCACCAATATTGCGGACCTTCTCGGTCGTAACAGGCTGATGCACTCCTGGTTGATTCACCAATGTGTTACATATCATGGCGAACAACAGGAAAGAGGTACTGAGCGCCTTTAATAATTTGTCCATCTTGTCCTCGAGGGGCTTTTCGTAATTGAGCCCAAGGTCACGATCAAAGAAGGCGATTGCATCCCTGCCGCTCTGACCCTCTTGAAGCCAGTTTGTGAGTGCAAAGGAAATAAGTATATTTTGATGCTTCTGATTCATTGTAAATGTGTGAAAGGTGGTGTAAAGATCTGTGTGTCGGTTGGTGTAAGCAATATGAGCACAGGGTCTTCGGCCTGTACGGTTGTTGGAGATTTCTAAGCCCACATACAGCGCATCAAGATCTGAATTCGACCGATAGATTGGTTCAAATGAGGTAGTGGCATGTCGACCTGCTGTGGCTTACCGATGAACATTCGAAACTACCAAGCTTTACCGAAGGAACGATACATGTGCATGAAGATATGTGTCGGCAAGCCACGCCAAGCTTCGCCGAAGGAACGATACATGTGCATGAAGATATGTGTCGGCAAGCCACGCCAAGCTTCGCCGAAGGAACGTTACATGTGCATGAAGTTGTGTGTCGGCAAGCCACACCAAGCTTCGCCGACAATTCTGAGTGGAACACCTCTGGGCTCATTGGACCGTTCGCCTGCTCATGGCCTTTGTTCCTGATCTCTCTCGTTATCTCTAGTATTGCTTTACCCACCTCTGTGGTCTCCTTGGGCGCTGCCCTCGCCTCCCCCGCTACGTAAACATTATGTTATATGTTCGCCGCAGATCATTGAGCGATCTCCGGAGCATTCTTAAGCTCATTCTTGATCTCGTCAAGACCCGTGACCTTGGTCTTGGTGTGTGCGATACTGAGGCATGTAGCGTGACGACGTCTTGAGCAGACGTCTGCGTGCGATAATTCGCGTTAAGTTCAAGATGCGAGATTCTCAATGTTGGCGTATTATTTATGATTCTCCGGGTTCGGATGAGTGATGTACGCGAGTCCATCCATTAGTACCGGATCAATACTTATTCCGTGCAAGAATACCCCGCTTTCTGGGCTCTCACGTCGAACTGTCATCAGAGCCGTTACCAGCAGCCAATATGCAATTCTTCTTCCTCGAGTTGATTGAGAGATTAAAAAACACTGTACGAAAAGGATGGGTACTTCGTGGTGTTCGACATCCCGAGAGCGTCAGTGATCACATGTATCGAATGGCAATTATGTGCCTCATGGTACCAGACGTAAGATTAGTTGCGCCCTATTGCATTATACCAGCATTGAATAGATTCAGATCGATGATTTTGTTCGTACGAGGGCTGTCACCATGTCTCTAGTTCATGATATGGGAGAAGCGCTGATAGGCGACATCACTCCATCGGACGGAGTTAGCAAAGGTCCATTCAGCCTATGCATCATTTGCCTGGATGCTGACAGAAATCAGAGCAAAAGTTTGAGCGAGAAGAAATGGCGTTGAAATTCCTTGCGTGTACCATTCGCTCCTCGAATCCGAGTTTCGCAGATTCTATTTTGGACTTGTGGTATGAATATGAAAGAGGAGAATCTCCAGCGGCAATGTTGGTCCGAGAAATCGACAAGCTAGAGTGTATCCAGCAAGCAAATGTGTACGAAGGGCGAAGCGGTACAGACTTGGGTGAATTCATGGCACTGAAAGAGAAGGTTACCCTGCCAGTGTTGCAGCCTTTGCTGAATGATTGCTTACATGAGCATGAAGAGTTTACGAAACGGACGAAGACCCGTTTAGTTGTCATCTTCGTTTCAGGTAAGTTTTCGAATCAAGTCACGATCTAGCTAATAGTACCAGGGGGTCCTGGCGTTGGAAAAGGAACACAGTGTTCTCTTCTTGCAGAAGAGTTCGGACTGCACCATATTTCTGTCGGTGACCTACTGCGGGTCGAGGCAGCACGCCCGGAATCTCCATATCGCGACTTCATACCTGAGAGCATTCGAAAATCTATACTCCTCCCAGCTCAACTCACAACTCAGCTCTTGCAGCAAGCCATAGTCCAAGCACGCTCGCAAGAGAAGCACAACTTTCTGCTCGATGGCTTTCCCCGAAGCATCGCACAGGTCGTCGATTTTGAGGACAAGGTGAGTTTTTCCAGGTCATGACGGGCGTATACTAACTCTGAATGCCAGATCTCCAATGACTACGCGACTATCTCGTTGACGTGTACTGAGACGGAGCTGTTGAATCGTCTGCGCAACCGCTCATCGCTCTCGGAACGTATAGACGACAATCCGGAATCGATCGTGAGAAGACTTCAAACATTCAACGCGAACAATGCTGAGGTTCTCGGTCATCTCAGAAAACAAGGGCAATGTTTCGATGTATGTGTTGATTGACAATGATAGTGGCCACGCGTTAACATAGATGCAGGTTGAGTGCTCTGGCTCAGTGAGTGAAGTTTATACGGATGTACGTGAGACCGTCCAACAAATTCTCCGCATTTCCGAAAGTGCCCCAAAGACCGGGCCTAACTAAAGTCGGTCATGCTCAGCTGCTCGAAGTGTTGTGATGGTTGTTTATTAAATGCCAATCTGCATATAGAAAAATCGACGCTGTCTTCGTACATCCATTTGTATCGTTCTTTAGCTGACCCCTGAGGCACAATTGTGTGATGCTCAAGAGACATGAATGGTTCGGGCGTGTCGCCACGAAAGTGGAGATGTCCCAAGAGGACATTGCTTGCGTGTAGGCTTCGGTCTATGAGTCTACGTGCAGGTTCCGGATGCCGCCATATGTACGTCTATCACAGATTAGTGCACTCCGGAGAAAAAATGGATGAGATGTACATTGCTTGCGTCGAGAGTCCAGTATAATAATCTGAATATATCCCTTTCTCGCGTATGCAACAGAATAACTGCCGAGATGAAGGTAGCGGTCCACTCGCGGCGATATTTTTGGCGCAAAGTACGTGAGAGTGCTTTCAAGCATTCTGCTTCTTTATCTGCACAGTACCGCTCGAGTCTACGATCCAGCTGGTTCTGGAGAACGCGCGGAGCTGGCGTCGTGTTGAAAAGGAATGACCCTCGGTTCATTACGAGTGGCATTCCAAGGGACCCAGGAAAGGTTAGCTGCCAGCCTTGCATAAGGAGTCGATGGGCAGACCACAAGCGCAATGTTCTTTGGATGAGATCATCCTGCGTACAATCAGATCATCTGTATAGTTGTTCTGAGAGGTTACAAACACACCTGTAAGTAGTTGGATGCATGCTTCAGAACGGTGTCTAGCCAAGTCGAGCCGCCCTTTGCTTGGTTGAGGAAAAGGTCTACGTGCTTTTGGACATAATCGTCCATAGCTGCATCATCGATGGGTTTGGAGAGAGCGAACGCAGTAGTTTCCATGCTAGCCCAACCTTGAGTCGTTTTGTGGAACAATCGTATCTGATCGGAGTTTGCGATCTCGAAAGGAGAACAATCAACACTCAGCGTTGGTCCACAGGGCAAGTGCTGCAGGTCTACTGTATATATGGGCACATCCATAACGAGGTTCTCCCAAGCAAGCTTCTTCTCGTAAGGAAACTGCTGCCCTACCAGAGTCAGTACGTGAGGTAAGACGTCTGTTATTGCACTTGCATTTCACAAAGACCGACGTTTCAGTGAGTCTAACTCGACTGCAAAGTGAGGCCGGAATGTGAAGCTCTTGGCAACCAGCGCATATTGAGTTGTTACGGTCTCTACACTATATGTTGTCAATAAGAGTCTAGGTCACAAGCGGAAATGGTACCTTCTGCTTCCTGAGCCAACAACGAGCGCAAGGTGGTTGCTCACCGGCAGCTGTGTCCTCAGTATTCCTATACTGGGCATCCCCAGGGCAGGCTATGATTGCTTCTAGTGATGTTCCTGAATCGATTCGACCATCGCAATGCAACAGGTAGTCTTCAGACCGGAAGTGCTGAAGTCCTGGGACAGGTTCAAGCAGTGCCATAGACGATTGAGCTAACAACTCAGCTTGAGCAGAAACCTCAGGTGGACCAGATACATAATTGGTAGCAGTAATCGAGGGGTCCAACGTAGTGTCGATACCATACACTTGCTGGAGGATGATGAGGAGATCGAGATGAGCGTTATCTGAAATGTCGTAGTACTGCTTCCAAACCTCGAGTGGGTGCGACATTGTGTCGAGAGAGCGACTGCAGCCGGAGCTCGAAGTTGTTGAATGTCTGTTGGATCTGGGCGCCAATCCTACAAAGTTAGATAACAAATTGCGAACACCACGTTCCTTGGCGGAGAGTAAGGGCTTTATGAGCGTGTCTTACGTCCTTGCGGAAGCCGAACGTCGCTGGCTTGAACGCCAACCTGCAGACAACGTCTGGTCTGGCATGTAGATGCGCAGATGCGAGTTCACACTCTCTTTAAGACCTTAAAATTGAGACCTCAAAGCAGCAAGGCCCTTGAGTGGACAAATAAACCGTGTATTTGACAATGATGAAGGCGGGACACGGTTCTCTGCACTCTAGGTGCTGGTGTTATAGACGCAGAATTAGTCGGTGCGGGGGCGGGACTAGTGTTTCGTTCCCCGAATGACCTGGACGGTGCGGTTGCTGTTGACCCGACAACCACAAAACATCCACAATCACGCCGACCATCATTACCATCATCGCTTTCACTGTTCCTGCGCTTCCATCTACGTCCCTTTTAGGACACGTGCAGAGATGAAGCGCGCAGGATGCGAGCTTGTCTACACAACGCGTAAACGCCGTCGCGCCTCGTTGCCCAGTTTGATGCTCGAGAACAATTGCAGCAATTGTCTGGAGCCAGCGGCAACATCTACCCCGCCTTCGACCTCGTCCCCACCCAACCCCAGCCTTGCGCAGTGTCTCACCGCCCCTGAGGAAGCAAGCACACCTTGGGCGCAGCGCGCCCTTTCCATCTGCAGCTGGGTCAACGACGTCTCAACACGCTCTCCTTGCATCGAACCTCCTGTCTCTTCTCCCTCGGTCGATGCTCAGGTACTGGACACCATGTCAGACAGCTCGAGACTACGTCACATGAAGGCGCAGAGACGTTCGCGCTCCTGCAGCCCGACGAAGAAGAGTTCGCAATATCGCAACACCGTGCTGAAGCCCGTGAACATCATTGTTGACGGTGATCATGATCTCCCACCCAATATCGAAGCGCTCCTCCCGGAAGGACTGCGCGATCTTCTCGACCATCCGCAGATTGCTCCTCTCACCAACCATCACACACGCAATGAACCTGCGGATGAACATAATGGCAGTAGAGCTTGGACAGCGGGGTCGGCAAGTGAGGTCAATCAGCTCGCAGTTGTGTATCGAGACGAGTGCTGCGAGCTGGCGAGGAAAACTGGCTCTGAGCCAGAATACAGGACACATCTCTACGGTGACGTGGTGGAAAAACTCGCCAGAATCCAACCCTGGCGCCGCACTCTCAGTGCTAATTGCAGCGACAAGCTCTGGCTCGCCTCGCTCAAACCACCCAATCCGACCCCTATACTGGCTTTGCCCTGGCCACCCCTATCAGCAAACCCTGTAGCTTCGAAACCCCAAGAGCACGTGTCATTGGAATCATGTCAAAGTTCATTTGATTCCAACATCATCCACGTGCGACCTGACAGCATTCCCTTCAATCTCGCCTCCCCACCTGTGTCCACAGAGCCAAGCGAGCCCTCGTCCGCCAGCGATGTGGACGGTACAATCACGACGCCAAAACCAGATATCACTGTTGGGATTTCTCGAGAGGCTTTCAGTCGCAATCATGCGCTCCTACTTGATTACTGGCAAAGTCACAAAGTGGTTCTCAGCGATCCGCACACCACACAAGGCGACATGCGCTTTCCGTTCTTCATCATTGAAGCTAAGGGTTTGAGCACCGATGGCAACCTTATAGGGGCACAAAACCAAGCCGCAGGAGGTGGAACGTGTGCAATTAGGCTGCTGGCGTCTCTCGCAGCGCAAGATCCCGAGAACGACGCACCACGCATTGTTTTTAGCTGTACGACTGAGGGCGCTATACACGAACTCTGGATCCACTACCAAACAACAGACGAGGAAAATATTCCGTTGCACCATATGGCATGTTTGGGAGCCTGGAGGACCACACTAGGTCGCCATGCCAGTGAATTTGTATCAGCGCTGGCGGTCATCTTTTCCTGGGGTGCGAACGTCTTTTTCCCGCAGATCACGAGGGTTCTGGATAGGGTCCTTAACCCAGCGATCTCTGCTGGGTGACTTACACCATAAGATAACTGCTACCGAGCGTATGAGGCACGTTCATGGCTCGTTCTATACCTTCAGCGGTGATTACTTTGGGGGTGTATGAGTTCGTGTTGAGGATTCTGGGATCTTGACTCAAGATGGCCTCTCGTATTGATGAGAGCACCAAAGACGGCTGGTGTTTGCAATATGTAACATCACAACCTCTCCACTGATCTCTTGTGGAGTTGATTTTAATCGCGTCTGATCTTGGAACCTTCTTTGACAATCTGAGTTAGACCGATCGTCCCGAACCCCTGGATCACCCTCACTTTAACTCAATACAAGTTAAGATGTCATGGATGGTATTGCAATATGTATGTCTGCTATGCTCGATACTCAAGTCACGTACGAAGGCCGTACGCTGAACGCTATATATTGTAGCCTTCCAGAGATCTCCGGTAACGCTCCTATAACTCTTCGCATTTGCCTTGATGCTGCAGGACCAGCGTGAGGTTGTTCATGCTCGTAAGCGTGGAAGGGTGATACCATCCAAGCTCTTCTATTTTGCCTTCTAGTGATTGCCTTGCCAGCTCCTCAGACTCCTCGTATCTGCCCTGACACTGAAGCACTAGCGCCAAGTTGCTCATACTAGCAAGCGTGGAAGGATGACGCTTCCCAAGAGTCTCTCGGAAGCCACTTAGAGCTTGCTGGTTCAGCTTTGTTGCTTGCTTGTACTTGCCTTGGTGCTGCAGTACTAGTGCCAGATTACTCATGCTTGTCAGAGTGTCTGCGTGGCATGATCCCAGCATCTTACTTCCTCTGAGTGCCAAACGGTTCAGGTCTTCCGACTCTTCGTACCTGCCTAGATGCTGTAACACCAAGGCTAAGTTACTGATGCTTGTAAGCGTAAAAGGATGCAGTGAGCCCAGCGTCTTCCTGAATCCTTTCAAAGCTCGCCTGTTCAGTTTCACTGCGTCACTGTGATTTCCCTGACTTGAAAGGACCCCCGCTAGGATCTCAACGCTCAACAGTGTCCGATCGTCATTCGGTCCCAGTACTCTCTCCCTTACTATTAGCGCTTGAGTGATCATTTCTCGCGCTATGTCGTAGTCCGCTTGCTTCCATAGATACCATGCCGCATTCGTGACTATCTGCGCCCATGCTTGCCATGACTTGAGAGTGACCGGAACGCTGTTATAGGCCACGTCAACCTGCGGAAGCAGCTGCTGGCATCTTGTCCAGTTCTCGAACTCTCCAGTAGGAAATTGTTGTGCAAGATACTCGAGGCAGGGGTCGTCTTCGTTGCTTTGTGATAACAAAACGGGTATCGCGCCATCGTCTGCTTGTTCATTGTTCATGTGCCGGTGCCAATCGGTCGCGAGGCGCAGAGAGTTGGACTGGATGTTTGGCGGATCTTGATTGCTCGTAACGTCTGTATAAGTCTCCAATATTTTGAACTTGAGATACTCCAGCATGCTAGGCCTGCGGACACTGGGTTCCAAAACTGGGTGCATATTCCAAAGTAGAGATACGAGTGCGGATTGTGGGTGAAATCGATCACCCAAGCGACACTTGTCAGTGCTGCGATGACAGAGTGCTGTCTCCGCATTCCTGAAGATGTTGCCTGCGGATCACGGCAGCTGTCAGTCCGGATCAAGAGAACAGAATTCAACAGATAGTTGAGACACCGTTTTCATGTCCCTGTTTCTCTGCTCGTCTTTGAGTACGGGATACCGTATCTTGTTGTTCTTGAGTACGGGATACTGTATCTCGTGGGATGATTGCGCACGGAATTTCGGAACACTCACAACCTCGGGAAGCTTTTGCATGTTGAAATGTCGACGTGGCACAGCAACGTGCTCCCTTGGAGATACTCCCCGACTATCGTACGGCACTTCACCATCAAGGGACTGCCCTATCTTATGGTTCTCCTCTCCAGTCTCTTTTAACATACCCAGATATGAACCTGCGGTACGGCGATCCGAGCGAATGTACATCGTCGGTCTGCACTGATATGGCATTGCGCAAAACATGACCTTGTCAGTCACGACACAACTGGACAAAATGTCGTGCGAGTATCGACCCAAGGATATGCTGGACCCACCCCCCACCGCCAAGATTCACCAGCGCGACTCGCGATGCTGGCGCAGAGCATCGCTCGCGGATCTGGTCGAGCAGAACGGCACGGCTGTGGTGGAGTCTCAGGGCGTGGTCAGCGCAGCGTTGAGTCGCGCGTTGAACGAAAACATGGGAGCGGCGGTGGCTGACACCTCATGAATTTTCTTCTTCGCCCAGAAACAAGCTGTAGCACTGTAGATATAGCTATCGCGCTCAGAGGTGAAATTCGGCAGAGCCTTCTATACACGTAACAATTGAAAATCTAGGTGGCACAGTGAGTGGCACAGCAGACACGGAGCCAAGAAGCGGCCAGCAGCAGGGATGTGCTCCGAGGCCTAGGTGCGCACAAAAGCTTGGCGTCTCGCCTCACCCATCCCTTTATTCATGCATCGGTTTTCTATATTCCGTTCGCTCTGACGGGTAGCCTTGTTGACTTCTTGCATTCACCCGCCCGCCCGCTGTCCGGCCCATTACAAAGCTTCATGCGACGACAGATATCTGCCAAGAAAGCGTTCGATGGACCCCACTAGTCAAAAACGCTTTAGCCAAGTTTCGATGTGAGACCACGAAGTGTTGAATGCTCTCGTTGCTAATGCCACTCAGCAAAGCGTCTCTTCGTCAACGAAGCACATCAATTTGTTGCGCACTCGGAACCTCCAGGTAGACGGGTGATCAGCAGATCATCACACACAATGTCAAGTACACAGCTCGTAGCAACTACGTTGGAGTGTCTACACGGGATCAGCCGTAGAGGCTCTGAAGACGCCACCATTCTGCTAGTACTCTTTTCATTCCTCTCCTTAGGTGAGGAAGTGCCCAGAGATCTTCTCGTCCGTGGAGCGACACCCCGCAGTCGCTGGACTATGCAAGGCGAAATGGAGCACATCGACGCGTCGACCTGTGACCTCTCTTCGGACTTGTCGAGTCTGCTTTCCGATCCTTCGAGGACTGAAAATGCTCTTCGCACATCGGAGTGTTCCATGGACCAAGAGTTTGCGTGTCGCATCCATGAAGCCTTGTCTGAAGAGCAGACTGATTTTTGGAGACGTCAAGCTTTAATCGTCGCATATAGAGCGATCCATTGGAAGTATCTCGAACCTTCGTAAGTTAGAGCCGACCTTGTAAACAGATACGCTTCTGATGCTACAACAGCGTTCAGAGCATCGAACTGTTCGTTCCACACCTCAAACATGCCGTGCAAGCATTTGATGGTAGCTTTGAGTGCCTGCCAGAGAGCACCCGAGTCGACCTTGCCCTCACTCTTATCGAATCCTTTCGATTTCCGACTATGGAGTGGAAAAGATTCGCAGTCATTCAAGCGAAAGCAGCGGCCCGTGGGCTCAACCATTCGTATCTGAACTCTTGCATTGCACAATCACAATGCATCTTGGATCGACTTGCTGGCAACATCGACAAGGCTGTCGACGGTCTTCGGCATGCTGTGCAGTATAACACATCGCCCAATGTGCCGAGACAGATGCACTCTGTAGCCGGCCAAATAGCCATTCAGCAGTGCCTGAACTTCATCCAGGTGGAAAACATCTCAACTGCTCAGCAAACACTAGAGGATTGGGAACCCATTAACCCCCCATCCCTAATGGAAGACACTGTGCTTCTTCGAAAGCAAATAATGCTTGGGAAGAGTTTGCGCTACCAAGGCAGATTTGAAGAATCGCGGATAAGTCTCGAGAAAGCGTTCAGAATAGTCAATAAGCGCGGCGTCGACACCTTTGATGAGGATCTGAGCGACCTTACATGTGAGATGGCAGACACGCTACGGGAGCTTCACGAAACAGGCTCTGCAGAAGACTATCTCCGGATTGAGATGACACGGCGAGAGCACAGCAGCCTCCCGACTCGAGGCTTGTCTGCCCTGCAACTATCTCTCGCGGAGGTCATGTTTGTCCAAGGACGATTCGAAGAAGCAGTTGAGATTTGTCTCGAGGTCCAATCTCGTGCCGGGCTTCTAAGCTGCGCTCACATGTTATACGAGCCAAGATTTCTCACATCCAGTCCAACTTCAACGAGGCTATGTGCTTTTGGAACATAGCGTTGCAAACAATCCACAAGTTGCCCAGGACTAATGGCCGTACGACCCGTTCGATTGTCTCCTCCATTTCCCGTTGTTTGTATCAACTGGGCCATCTTGAGATAATGCAGTCGTCTCTTAAGCAGGTTCAGACCCTAGATGAATTAGCAAAACCTGATAGTGTCCAACACTGGATTGCAGGCACGCAGGATTGGTTGGGTTGGTTGGATAGGTCGGATACTGATGAGCGTAGCCGTTTGTAGCAATATTGTACCAATTGATGTGACAGTCAATTCTCCAGTTCGTGTCGTATAAGGACAGCTTGATAGAATGCCACACGTTCGTGTTTGTGTGTTCCAACGTGTTTTATCACCGAGCGGCCCACTCAAGCTCTATATAATCATCTCCCAAGTAGATTTTTCAAAAGATGGCGAAGGTCCGAAGTTCGAACCTGTCCCGTTATACCGTGCGTCCCGGCACGTAGGGAAGGACGTTAGGGCGGAGGTCCGAACTGCCAATCCGTCTCTCGACATGGTGTGTCTCTTCACTTAAGTTAGGGACGCACCTTACCTTGCGAAGCTGGGCACACGTGAAAATGCGGGTATCTTGTAATGATTGAGAAGCGAGGTCACTAATTGCATTCTGTACGTGTACGCGAAGTCATGGCATTTGTAGAAACTTGTAACTACGTGGGTTAGGTCACATGAAATCCTATTGTAGAAGGCACTGCCCGGTGGGCAAGTGCACTTACCTCTGAGCGGAGAGCTCCTGTACAAGAACATCACCAAAACAACAACAGATAGCAATACAATCACTGACCACAGCCTCTGGAACGACACTGCACACGCAGTTACAAAACTACATACTGCTTATATTACGCACTGTAACTAGCACTATTGCCTACAACTGACCAGAGCTCGAAGAAGACGCTTGCCCAGTCTCCGCGAGATCCATCCTATCACCTATATCAGCAGGAAGAGCACCAGAGTCAATAGTAACTCCTCGAAGAAGATCCTCATCTTCGTCTTCATCTACTTCCTCGACCTTAGTGCCATTTCGCTCGTTTTCTGGAAAGAGCCACGGGGTCTCCTCCAGATCGACTGGGGTTAGAGGTTTCCGGGTCTGCGGATGAAGTTTCTGGATCTTACATGCCTCAAAATACGTCTGCCTCTGCGTGTACGCCGTCATCATGCTTGAGAATTGCTTTTCCCCAAACCTTTGCCCGACGAGCTGTGTGAACTCTGTCCTGCTGAGTAATTCTGGGTCGGGTTTGTCTTTGTACACCACCTTCATATAGCTATCCGGACGACGTTCCTTCGTTCCACGGCCTACGTAACCCTCAGCTCGAGGCATTACCACGCATGGGCCGATGCTCTGGATCGGATGCGCGCCTTTTATGTCTCTCTTTCGTTGCTTCAGATCAAAGTTGACCACTTTCTGCTCGGCCAACTTCTCTGCACCTCCTGGTCCCAAGTCGCTTCCTTTCAAAACCTTGTAGTACTCCAGCCCTGGCACGTCGAGGCCAGCGTTCACAAAGTAACGATTGAACCTTGCGTTGTCTGTTGTGGAGGCTCTCGTCGCTATGAGAGGCCCATGCTCCGTCATGCCGTTGTCGTACTGGAACATTTCGGCCACATTTGCTCCTAATGTTAGCGATGTGACATCAATATTCCGGAGCATATCTTCCGTGAAGTTGGTACCCGTAACAAATGAAGTAGCTGAAGCTCCAGCAATGGGATTTACCACTTTGGCAGTCACGCTTGCCGCGGATGCAGCAGCTGAGCTTGCAGTGGATTCAGCAGTCACAGTTGCCGAAGGTTTAGTAGTCGCATTTGCCGAAGGTCGAGCAACGTCTTGTGAACCAATTTCGGGACCGCTCGGAGGCTGTTGGAACTCTATAGCTCGCACCACACCTACCGCTGCCTCTTGTTGACGGAGCTGCTCTAGGAGCCTTGTGATACTGACCTGGACTTGTTCGTATTGTCCGTCCTTGTAATGCCTAAGCACCTCCCCCAGTATGGACATCGGTAAGGAATTATCACCTCTCGCCTCTTCCAGAGCCGTGATGGCCTTGTTAGTCTCCTCCAAACGCTCGATCAACCCGTTTGCTCTTCCTATGCCCTGTTCTGTGACCATGCCGTTGACGCATTGAACAAAGTCGTACATTGGTTCAATAACATCGCCCCATTGATCCAGCTGCTCAAGCGTTGGTCGTTCCATTTCATTTTTGAGCGCATTGTAAAGCTCCATATTCTCCTTAGAGCTTGAAACAAAATCCTCGAACACAGATTTTGCTCGATGGCTCAAGACTGAGTTCGGTGGGATACCCTTTGCTTGTAGATTGTCCAGGAAAATCAAGGCTGTTTGGAGCAGCTTCGTCTTCTTGTCCTTTCGAGCTGCCAACAACTTCTCCTTGTCGACCTTCTTGATTTTCAACTCAGCCGACTCCTTGGAATCAGATTGACATGCCGCTAGTCGTTGATTGTAGTCTGCGATCTTCTTGCTGTAAGCTGCTTCAGAAGGTAGGTCACTAAGTTCCTTCAGTGCTTTCTCTATGGCGAAGATTTGCCCGTGGAGTTCTTCCATTGGAAACCTCCATCTGCTGAGTAGTTCTTCTTTGGAAGGCTGTCCTGCTTCCTTGACACAGCGAACCTGCAGCTGTTTTCTACGCAGCACCTTTTGACTTTCTGACTGGCCAGCAAGGCCTTCCTCGAGTTTCTTTAGCCTCGTAAGGTAAAGTGCATTGGCCTTGGTGTTGAATTGTACGTCGACATTTACGATCTGATTGCAGTATTGCTCGATATTCTGGTTTGCCCGGTTGACGATTTCTATCCGTGGTCCTGACAACTCGGCCTTACCGCCTGGAGTCCACAGTAGTTTGAGCATAAAGTACAAACCTCGCCATTCCTTATCAACCGGTGCAGGTCGTCCCTCAGGAGCTTTTCGATCTGATCGCTTACTCATGTAATTTGAGAAGCCTTCGTTTGCCGTAGCGGCCGCTTGTCTCTTGTCTGCGGCGTCTCTCTTGTCATAATACCCTTCCCCTCGCTCTGCCCTTCGAGCCAGTTTCGCTGCATGCTTCTCGTTTCTCCTTGCCGTCTTTGTCTCTTCATCAGCGTTCACATCACTTTCTGAATCAACGTGAGAAGACAGTTCGCTTTCGTCGATTGCATCATCCTCTTTGGCATCAGCGGGAGGGGCATCGCTCTCGACTTCTTCAACGCCCTCTCCTTCTCTAGATATAGCTTTCGACTTCCCTTTGGACTTTTTGCGTGGATCATCAATTGATGCTTCGCTCTCATTCCCTTCTGTATCTTTCTTCTCTTCAATTCTGTATTTCCCCTTTCCCTTTCCCTTACCATGTTTCGCCTTCGCTTGATCGATGTTCAATGACGCCGAACTAGGCCCAGGAAGAATAAGATCGGTTGACATTGTGGTAAATAAGTTTCGTAGTGGGTAGTGTATGTGAAGGTGATTAGATCTTGAGTCCGGCTCAAGTTTGGGAGTTTGAGTTTGTTCTGCTCCAGTATATCCTGAAAGAAGAGACTGCTTTTATATAGCAATTACGAGCAGTATTCGTGGTCTCATTGTTCTGGAACCAAGCTACTGAAAGCGGGTCTACGGTGCGTTGACGAAGTAAGAGATGGGTAAAGATGAAACCGAATCCTGAATCCAGGACACATAGACCCGCACTCTATGTGATAAAGATTGCTCCGCCTTGTGCGGCTGGAACATCAGGAAAGAAACCATGGCTCTTCATCTTTCTTTTATCGTTCTAGCCTTAGGAGTCGTGGTGCTGGCCTCCACACCTAGCTTGGACACTGCTGGCCCTAATTCGTGGGGCCAGCCTCAGCCATCACACTTGCCGTGGGCATGGAACCAGACCGCTCAGACCACTGAACCAGCCACTCCAGCAAATTCAACGTACACTGGTGAACCCAAAGCCACTTCAACAGTTGATGTGGGCGGTCGAGCGGAGCTCGTGTTCTCTCCTTCTTCGCTAAACGCATCAGTGGGCAGCATCATTGTGTTTAACTTCCTTGCTTCGAATCATACATTGACCCAGAGCACCCTATCGAGCCCTTGTCAATACAACGGAGGTTTTGACTCTGGCTTTAGGCAGTTCAACCCAGCAAACATAAGCGGAAAGTTTGTCATTGAGTATGAGGTTCAGAAAGAAGATCCGCAGTGGTTCTTTTGCGCCCAAAGTGTCAAGGCATCCCATTGTCACGCAGGCATGGTTTTTAGTCTTAATCCTGGTGGGGCGCATCCCGTGTTTTTGCAGAATGCTCATTCAGCAGTCACCGCGAAAATTCAACCCACACTTGCCTGCCAGCAGCCTACATCGGACCAGCCTTCTCACAACAGAACTGTGGCGGCACCGACTGGAACAATTTCGGCCAACATTGGACCAAGCTCTATCGCCATATCTCCACCTATCTCAAACTCTGGGAACAGGAAACCCATGATAGGTCTTGGCCTACTTGCAAGCTTTTATGTGCTATTTTTGTAGAATATCAACATGCCAATGGCTAGATTCCATAGTAATAAATACATACCATCCGTTATTGGCCAACCACTTGCTTCTGTCAAGTCCTCAATAATCAGATAACGGGGCAACTTGTACATTGTGCCATAAATGCGGTTTACGGCACAGACAACGATAACATACAGGAAACGTAATCCTGAATCGTACCCCCGCACGTCCGCAATTATGTCATCACACATGGACTTGCTGCGCTCTTTCAAATCCCTTTTTGTGCCTTAGTACATTTTCATCTACTGGTTGCCTTTACTCTTTGTGTTCTTTCGTTATCAGAATCGGTGGCATTGAGGAAAAGCCAGGGGAGCAGTGCGTCAAACAAGAGATTTGCCATGGAATTGGTTTCCATCCGATCAGCTGTGCCCGGTTGACAGGCCCCACTTCATCTTAAAAAACCATCTGTCCCCAGAGGCCTGCCGTTTTCCCTCAACCACTACAACATCAACCCCGTGATGATTTGTGGTGTCTACTTCTTATACATCCTGCCGCGATGACCCAGAATCACTGCCCAGTGTCCTGTTTCCTGATCCCAGAACCTTGGCTCGCATTCCCGGACTACGGCAGACTGCTACAGAGTTTCCAGAACCTCCCAGAACTTCCCTTGGCCCTCCAAGACCACTGCGCATCGTCAGTTTGCTATTGCTGTTGTAGGTTGCGCGCCGTCAGGCTGCGTCACTGCCCCTTGCCCGGAGCTTGAGAAAGCCGGCTGTTTGGGCGACGCAGTCGGCCGCTTCCTGCCTCAGTATGTTTGCCCCTGAAAAAGCCCGCAATCGGCCGCCTCCTCGCCGCTCGCCCTTGCCGCCCCCAGCCACCACTATTGGATCGCACCTGAGCATGTCTATGCGGCAGAAAAAGAGGGATGGCATCAAAAACCGCCGGCGGCACGCGAAGGAGGCGCAGGAGCGGATTCGGTATAATCTCCCATTCCAGGTCCCTGCTCAGCCACGCATCTACCTCGCGAAGTCCAAGTTTGGCCCAAAACAAGCGCCTCGCCTAGGGAAGGCGGCTCGAAAAGCCGTCGAGGACAGGCCATTGACCACAATTGCTCACAACAGCACCGTCACCCATGCTGGCATCCCAAACCCGAACTACGCAGCCGACTCAGACATCCCACGATACGCGGCAATTCGCTTCCACAATTGCGTACCTGAGAACGAGGCGGAGAGGCTGCTGGCTCAGGTGAAGGAGCTGAAAGATGTGTGTTCTACAGCAAAATTCTTCTTGCGCAGATGCTAATAACTACAGGCTAAGATGCCGTTCAAAACAACAGCGGCCCACGGCGATACCTTCCTCCAAGCCTGGATTGGGTTGTGGCGCAAGTACTCTTGTGCACCGTTTGTGTCTGCAGGACGTATGCAGAAGAAGCCTATCCTCGACGAGGGCATCAAGAACCTCATACGAATTCTAGATCAGAGCCTTGCCAAGGCCGCCGCATACCTACGCGATGTTGACGAACCGACCTACAATCGCATGAGATGCAGCCACAGCGACATCTTCAGACTCGCCTTGTCCGGCGTCGATCGGCATCGAGCCGCAGGGGCACACAGGGCATGGTTTGCTGAGGATCCAGACCGTGTTCTCACCTCCTCATATCGCTTAGGCGGTGTTGGGAGCATGATGGCGATGTCTATATCCACAGGTGCTGGCACAAGCTATCATTACGATGAGGGAGACGATGGTATGTAAAGCCACTTAGCCGATAACGGCTGCTAACATGTATAGGCCATTTCTACTCGATGATCCTCGTACTCGGCACCGGTGGCCTGCTTAAGCTTCCTGAGACCGGCTACCAGCTCTACGTGCGCCCAGGGGATGTCGTATTCTTTCTCGCCAACCAGCAGTTGCACAAGCTCGAGATTGATTCCGAAATTCCCAATGCCGTCCAAACAGTCTTCACGTTGTGGACTGACAAGCTCGCAATGCAGGCAGCGAAGCCGTCGCAGTACAACGATTTCTATATCGTTGAGCCTGACGCAGAGGACGAGACGGAGGAGCGATGACAGTCAAGAATAACGACCACCTAAGATGATTGATCAATGCTCCAAGGCGAGAAGATATCAGTAATCAACTAGACACGTCAAGGAGATGGCAACGTTGCGTAGGCCGTTAATCCGTCAGTGTCTACGACTACACAGAGAAAAACGGCCGAAGCCTCCACGGCGGTGGAGAGATCTGGACGGTCGCCCGTTCAGACAGGAGTTCACACAAGCTACCTATAGCGAGTTTGCTAGCTGTCAAGGAAAGGGTTGCTTTGCAGAACAACAGTAACCGCAGCTACAACAACAGACGTACAGGCACTGCCACTTAGGCAGGTGTTCACGTACAGATTCAACGAAGACGGGTACCTGTACAAGTACACGGCACGACTACTCTCCAGGATGAGCAGGGGGACACATTCGCGGCTAGACTGGCAACACGTATATTCAAGCCATCGATGGCAATGGCTGCTGCGTTTGGCCTAGCGTATCAGTACGATGTTCTCAATGCATTCCTCAACGCACCGCTGGGACAGCTAGTCTACGTACGAACGCCAGAGCCTGAAGGACGCGCCACAGTTGTGGTGCAGGCACCTAAAAGAGACGTTGGTGAAATTGCGATTAGGGCCGACCAAGGACATAACTTGTTTGATCGTGTTCTTCTACGCGGACGATATAGTCGTCCTAGTACATCCACAGTAGCTTGAGCATCACAGTCAGTTTGAGAGGCAACTCAAGGTGGCATACGACATGCGGTGTCTAGGAGACCTGATGTGGTTCCTGGGCATACGCGTAATAAAACATTGGACAACAGGAGTCACATGGCTAGTACGAGACTCGTTCATTTGCAAAATATGACCCATCCCAGAAGTCAAGAGAATACCCAGCCGTATCGTTGACTGAGAGCTATCTGCAACCAAGCCAGGAAGAGCCAAGCGTCAACCATACACAGACAAACCAGCAGCCAGTAGGATCACCGGCCTATATGTCGACCTTCACAAGGCCCGATGTGCCACGAGCACACTCAGTCTTAGCACGACACCTACAAAACCCTGGACAGAAGCATCTAGCGGCTGCAACACATGTGCAGAGGCACCTGGTTGGTACCAAGCACCTTGCTATCTGTCAACATCTGGCGCAGCATTTGCGGACGACGAGGAATTACGACAGAGCTCGTACGGACACTTGCTCAAATCGTACAAGATGAAAGGCAACACGTCAACGATCAGTCACAAAGTCTACCACAGAGGCTGGAGGAGAAGTGAAGTGGTGGAACAGAGTGTTCAAACACATCCAATCCAGCCCGGATGCAAGACCTGTCATCTACTTTGACAATGAACAGACTGTAGGAATAGTCACAAAACAGGACGATAGACTACACGAAACTACGTCACGTTGACACGCCAGATGTGGCTAGGGGGTACAGCACAGTCGTCTACACGTTGTCGGGTATCTATCAGCAGACATGTCAGCAGCTAGTACGACAGAAACACCACAAGTTTGTGGAACAGCTAGGTCTAGAGAACATAGAGCGCTGCGTTTGTACTTTGTTGCTCACGGCAGCTGGGGGGGATTCGGCCCGTACGAGATCCTACCACCCTTGTTCTGGACTAGCACGTTCCAGGGTCAGTATATAATCGTCTTCTCCAAGCTAGATAGCAACAGTCCTGCAATATCATTTACCGTAGCTATCAATGTAGTACAGCGGCTACGTCGCTAAGGTGCGTCCCTAAGTGAAGAGACACACCATGTCCCGAGACAGATTGGCAATTCGGACCTTCGGCGCCTCTCATTTGCGAGTTTGTAGAGCTGTTGTTTATAAGCGATGTCGAAGAGCTAATTCTTCCCCAGGCTAGCAGACTCCGACCAGGATCTCTGCAGTGTTGGTCATGCTGTCGATGGTTTCGTCAACGCCGTCAAACGAGCCTTTGGCAATACCCCCCTGTCTATTCGCCACCTTAGGGCTCTTTTTAGATATCGGAGGGCTTGGAAAGAAGCGCGTTCAAGGAAGGTTATTTCCCCAGGTTTTGGAGATCACTTGAATCTAGGAACGTGCATGCCGGGAGCGCCGTAGTGCGGAGGAGGAGACCCCCGCCGACAGGCCCAAGCTGGCGGGCTGCATCATCACATCTTGGCATGCATGAGCCTGCATTAGTGCATGTGTGGGCTGCCTGTATTCTACTGTAATGAATTCGGCGTTATACCCAGTCTGTACGAGGCTTAAAATAGATGTGGCGTATGCTGCTGCCTTTCTAGAAGCGTCTACGACCGTATGCGCAGAGCCGTTGTGTGCTGCGGTCCCCGCTTGGAGTCTACCTGAACGCTCCTCGGCCTTCCTTTTCCCATCGCCAACACGTCCGTAACGATGGACAAGGCCAGCCGCGTTCTGGCGCAGCCCGTTCCTCCTGGCCTGTCTAGATCATACCGTGCTCTCGCAGACCGTGGCGAAGTCCCCCACACAACCCTCCACCACCGTGCGTGCGGCCGTCGCTCGATTGAAGAAAAGGCCCAAAGCCAACAGTACCTCACTCCGTACGAGGAGGATGCTCTTGTGCATTTTGTTCTACAGATGTCTGATCTCGGACAGCCTGTGCGAATCAAGTTCATACGGTTTCTAGCCTTCTGCGTCACCCGCCAGCGACCCGAGACAGACCGACCGCTGAAGCCGCCCGGTAAGAACTGGACTCGAGGCTTTGAGAAACGTCATCCAGAGACTCAAGCGAGAAGAGTCAAAGCGCTGGACTGGAATCGTCACGAGAAGAACACCTACTGGAAGATAACGCACTGGTTCGAGGTGATAGGGAGGGTGCTCCAAGACCCGGCTATCTTGAAAGAGAATGTATACAATATGGACGAGACTGGGGTCATGCTATCAATGCTAGGCTCAGTCAAAGTCTTGGTAAGTAAGGATGACATGCGAGACTACAGAGGTGCGCGTGTCAAACGCACAATGATCACCGCGATCGAATGCATCAGCGGTGATGGTAGGTACCTAAACCCTATGATTATTTGGCCAGCCACAACTCACCGAAGCAACTGGACTTCATTCCCTACCCCCGGGTGGCAGTACGCCTGCTCTGATACTGGATACACCGACTCGTACATTAGTCTGCAATGGCTCAAGCGTGTCTTTGATCCCGAAACCAAGCAACGAGCTAACAACAAGCCACGTGTGCTTATCTGCGATGGCTTCGGTACACATGAAACCCTGGAAATTCTCGAGCATTGCTTTGAAAACAACATCATCCTGTGTCGTCTTCCTTCTCATACTTCTCACAAGCTCCAGCCCTGCGACGTTGCTGTGTTTGCTCCCTTGAAGGCAGCCTATCGCGAACAAGTCGAACGACTAGAGCGCGGAGGCGTCAACACGATTGGCAAAGAGCATTTCACTTCCCTTTTCAGTCCTGCGAGAAAGAAAGCCTTCACCCCGAAGAACATCATGGCCGGTTTTGCTTCAAGCGGCCTATTTCCTTTCGATCCAAATAGGGTGCTCAGAAGTATGCCAAAGCCCGTCGTTGACTTGATCGTTCCTAAAGTCGACAAGGTAACCGTGAGGACTTGTTCTCAGAACGAAGTACCGCAAACGCCAGCCACGCCAGTATCAGCAGAGGGTATTATGTCGCTACACGATCTGATCATGAAGCAGGATGCTCGTGCTCTTGACGAGACAAGCAAGCGAGACCTGCAGAGGCACCTCCAGAAGTATGCCAAAGCTGCACAACTATCCTTCGCAAAGGGCGCACTGCAGCAGAATCACATCCAACTCTTACTAAAGATCAACAATGAAGCTAAGGTTCGACGATCGACCAAGCCATTGATACTAGGGAGGGCAAAGGTTATGGGCTATGATGAGCTCAAGGAGGCACGAGAAAAGCGTGCCGAAAAAGAGGCAGCAAAAGACGCTCAGGGCAAAAGAAAACGTGGTCGGAAACGCACGAGTGCTGCGCCAGAGGTAGACGTGGCAGAGCCGAAGCCCAAGGCGGCGCGAGTGAGCAAAACATTGAAACCAGTAATGTCCCCGATCGTGCAGATGAGCGGAACACCTGTAGCGGAGGGCGGGACTGCATCGAAACCATGGAAAGCCCCAGTGGCGCGGATGTACTAGCATTAGGACTACAACGTGATATCGCTGCATGAAGTTGAAGCGCGAGTCGGCTCAAGACAGATCCGCGTGGGCTGCAAACCCTGCAGTGAGACATTGATCAGGAAGAGAAATTCTTCGGTGCTACAATCGTGACAGAAGGCCAGCTTGCAGTGTCCTGCTGCGCTTTCCCTTGCGCTCACCTCACTCGTCACCCATGCCTGCTATGCCCATTATCGTGCCTGTCACGGTGCTTGCTGTCGCCCAGTGATTATTGTGTGCCTCATTATTTCCCACTGTGACCGGTCACGTCGCCAGTGTGTCCGTCATGGCGCTTTGCTCATGTTCGTACGACGTATGCGAGATGGAGGTTGCAGCTTGTACAGCTATAGCGGAGAGCAGGGGCAGGGAACTCCTGTGCCCGCTTGTGCGGTAAGTATGGCTGGGATGAACCAAAGGCGACAGATGAATGACGGTCGCACGCGCAGGAATGGGTGGGCACAGACAAGTGGATGCAGTTGCGAACACAATCGTTCGGGTGCTGTTACCGCTCACAGTTCGTCGTATGCATTTAGTACGCACGCTGAGGGTGGATGAAGGCGTTATTCAAGATGTTCTGTAGCAGTGGTGGTTGTTGTCGCTGCGCTGTCCGGTACTGGAGAGCGGACGGCCAATAAGGCTGATTTCTTGGCAGGCATCAGAGCGCAGTCGCCTTGCAGGTGGATGCTGCAAAGAGGCGCAGCCTGCTGTGCCTCAATCCTACCCCGCAGCGTCGAAGACCTGTTGCAAGCGCAAGGGGAGAACCAACCTTCACTATGCAACACGTCACGTAACGGACATGGTCGTCAGACCTACGACTTTGATCCATAATGCGGAAACGAGACCGCATTCAGAATCACGTTCGCGCATTGTTCGCGTCAAACACTACCCGTTCGGCACCAACCCACACAGCTCCACTGCCGCCTGCGCAACGACCGTCTTCTCCCCGGGCTCCACTTCCATCGTCCCCGCCATGTCCACCTGCATCAAGCGCAGGTCTGTCGGCCGCACCAACGTCGCATAGCTTGGTGCTAGAGAAGGCGTTAAGGAGAACATTAGAGAAGCTCCCCGAAGCCGAGAAAGCAGCGTTTGCGCAGGCGTCGAAGACGATCGACGAGCGAGCCCTGCTTTCCCGCGTACAAGCTTACGATGCGGCGCACAAGGACGACTCATCTTTTAGACCTCATGCTGAGCGTCTTTCAAAGTTCCTGGGTCTACTCAACAGATTCATGGGAGGCGTGGCTATAGGCATCCAGGCGAGCCCCGAAATATCGGCTCTGGTGGTTGGCTCGGTCAGGGTCGTCATCGACCTCGCCCTGAAGTTCACACTGTATTTTAGCAAGCTAACTGACATGATCTGCACTTTTGAAGACTACCTAGGTCCTCTGACGGAATATGTGAAGGCGGCAGATATCAATCTTGTAGAGACGACAGTGGTCAATGCTTACGCGAACGCGCTCAGCTTTGGCTGGAAGGCGCGACGTGTGTTTGTTGACGACAACGGCGATCAGCGGAAATGGACATCCCTCAGAGCATTTATGCGCCAGCACTGGGACACGTTCGAGTCAGAGTTTGCGACCATTAAAGAAGATCTGCAGCACCATCTCGACGTACTGCTGCACTCTGTCCAGTCGCTGCATTTTGACTTCTCCAGGAAGGCTGAGTGGGCAAGGCGGCGTGAAGAAGAAAGTATGACTACCTAGTCTGATGTTACGTGTTCATATTTGTGGTTGACAGATCTCCAGGGAAAGAGAGATCGGCATTCCTCGCCTGGGTGTCGAGCATCGACTTCGAGAAAACCCACCAGGACACTTTTACGAAGAAGCAAGAAAAGACATGCGACTGGCTAATAAGAGAGCCAAAGTATCAGCAGTGGTTCAACAGCTCCACCTCATCCCTCCTGTGGTGCCACGGAAAACGTAAGCAACACTGTGCTTCTCTTAAAAACGAGACCTGCTGACAACTTGCAGCTGGGATCGGCAAATCCGTGCTTTCGTAAGTGAAGACAAACCCTATCTTGTTTGAAAAACCTCATTCTCAATCGCAGTCGAGGTCGAACGTTATTGAAGATATTACAACAAGGATTGGACTGCGAGAGGATGTCGCCCTTTGCTTTGCTTACTACAACTACCGGGACACGCGGCTGAAAGAGCTTCATCAGATCGTAGCTGCTCTGCTCAAGCAGTTGTGTCGAAGGAAAGACCGGTTGCCCTGCGACCTGCTCCAGACCCAACATGATGCCTTGCCTTCGTCTTTGGTAGGCACGCAGGAAAGATTCGTATCTCTCGTCACAGATCTATCTCAGGTATACGTGGTGTTCGACGCTTTAGACGAGTGTCCAGAGCAAGAGCGAAAAGACATCCTTGGATTCATCATTGGTATAGTGACGGCGCAGGTTCGATGCCATGTCAAGGTGTTTGTCACCAGTCGGAATGAAATGGACATTGCCAAAGCCTTCGGAGACAAGCACATACCTACGATCCAGATCCAGACCGAGAACGTCACCGCCGACATAGAGACTTTCGCTCGCAGTCAGGTCGAAAAGCTTCAAGCTGGGGAGCATGGAAAGACACTCTACGTTACCAATAACAAACTCAAGGAAAAGATCATACGGACGCTCGCTACGAAGGCAGAAGGGATGTAAGTTTATGCCTAGTAGTCAGCGTAGAGGTTTTTGCAGGCTAATGTGTTATAGGTTTCTTTGGGTTAATCTTCAACTAGACAGCCTCTGTCAAGCCAGCAAGGCCCATAAGGACCAAGTGGTGGAAGCTGCACTGGAGGCGCTACCCCAGGGCTTGCCAGACACCTACGTTCGGATCCTAGAACGGATCGAAGTCCAGTCCCCGTACATGAGGGATTTGGCAATCAACTGCCTAGCTTGGACAGTCCATGCTCGGAGGCCTCTCAGCACTCGGGAATTACAACACGCGCTTGCGATCAACTCGAAGTGCACAGTCAGACAGGATTTACAGACCGATCCTCCTCAAGTAATCCTTGAGGCTTGTGGCAACCTACTAGAAGAAGCCAATGACTCGATCCGTCCGATCCACTACACGGTGCAGGAGTTTTTGACAACCACTGTTCAAGGGCTGTCGCAACGAAGCATACGAGCAAAACTTCTGGATTTGAAAGCTGTGCACGGACAATTGAGCTTAGCGTGTTTCGCGTACATCCGACTAACAGCACTCAAAAGACCAGCTGAGTCATATGTTGACCTTTACCACCAACTTCGAAAAAACGATTTCGCCGGCTATGCATGTCAGAACTTCGACTATCATGTTTTCAGTTGCGAAGAACCTGCCCTTGATGTCATGGACCAACTGGAGACGCTTTTGCGACAACAGAGTGCGTGTCTTGCAGCCATTTTGCAGATCAAGGTGTTGCGAGATGGCCACGACTACTGGGATATCCTGGAGCGCTTCAATCGCATGGACTTCTTAGTAACTCCTGGTACGATCGTGTACAGCACTAGTCTCTACAACATTCCCAGCGTAAGGCAAAAATGGGGCGACCAGACGCCCCCAACCTATGCGTTACACCTGGCGGCTTCTGCAGGACTTACTAACGCTGTAATTCGACTCCTACAGGCAGGATGCGATATCAACGAGAAAGACAGCAATGGCAGCACCCCGCTGTACTATGCGTGCCTCCACGGCGACGTGGACACCGCTCAGGTGTTGACTAACAAAGACGCCGAGGTCAACGCGCAGGGTGGAAGATACGGCAACGCACTGCAGGCAGCTTCAGCTGGAGGCCACGAGCAGGTAGTCAAGATGCTGCTCGACAAAGACGCCGACGTCAACGCGCAGGGTGG